GGCCTACCTCCCCCCCCCCGCGGTTTCCCCCAGCCAATACAGATACATCCTGGCCGGGAGGGGGGGCGCGCAGGAGGGGGGCAGCTGAGCTGGCAGGGGGACCCCAGCAGAGAGCTCTGGCAGATAAGACTAGCAGGCGAGGAGGGGAAGGCAGGACCCAGCTGCACTAAACATCCAGGGCTCTGGAGGTGGGAATCAGCTCCCCCGGGTGGCGTGGGTGGGCGGCCCTGAGGCTGATCTCCCGGAGAGACCATCCACCCTGCCCCACGGCTGCAGGAGCCACCCGGCTTCCCTGCCTCCCCTGGACCGGCCCAGAGACACAGGCAGGCAGGAGTTGGAAAGAGCCAGGAGCTGATGACGTGGGGCCGGGATGCGATTGGCTCAGACACTGAGCGACTGTCATCGGCAAGTGGAGCCGGCATGTGGCCCAGCTGGGTGGGGGGGTCACCGGCCCTTTAAGAACAAGGCTGCTGGTTTGAAGCCCAGCATGGAGGAGTAGCGAGCAGGAGGCCGCTACCGTGCTGGGATGTGCGGCCCTGGATTGGGGCACTTAGCCCTGCAGCTGGGCTTGCTGGCACAAGACGAATGGGAACGGGGACGGGGAATAGGGAAGTGCCTGGATCCGTATCTCCTGCTCCAGCCCCTTCTCCCAGAGCATTCAAGCCCCGGCTGCATGCACGGCAAGAGGTGGGTCAGGCTTAGCACCCAGTGGGGGAAACTGAGGCATAGGACGGCGCCACTCGGCCAGATTTCCAACAGGGATGTGACTGGTTAGCCGATTGATTGGTGGAAGCTGAAGCAGCTCCCCTACCTGCTGCAAGCAGGGGGCTGCTTCAGCCCCCCCGGGGCCCGCTGCAGGCAGAGGGCGCTCCAGCCCGACCGGAGCCGCCCCAGTCTGTAGCGGGGGGAGGGGGTTTACTCCAGCCTGGCCACATGGGCTGGAGCAGCCCTCCCCACCCAGGCCCCAATTAAATGGGGTTAACCAATTAAATGGGGTTTTACCTCCCTAATTTCCAAGCGCATGGCCCTATGGCAAATCCCACCCATTGTGGGTGCTACAACCTGAACATTCAGGCTCTAGGTCCCGTCAAGATTCGACTGCCGTTTGCCTGAGGCCTACCCCAGTGTTTCACAACCCCAACCCAGTTCCCAGCTGTCCCAAGAATGTTTTCCTCTCCCCACGGAGGCATCAGTTTCCTGGATTTTGCCTCCAGGGCCTGGTAAAGGTTCCTCTTGCTCTTGTGTTCTCCCCACCCACCCACCTGAAATCAACGCCCCCCACTACAGGGAACACCCCTGGGTACCACTGAGAAGAAGCTGGATCAGCACAATTTAGGGGTGGGAGGGGTCACAGATACGCTGACCCAGCACAAGAGTTCCAAGGTGTTTCACAAGCTCTCTGAGGCTATATCTAGACTGCAGGCTTCTTTCGGAAAAAGCTTTTCCAGGAGAGCTCTTCCAAAAAATCTTCTTCTGAAAGACAGCATCTACACAGCAAAAGCGCATCGAAAAAACGATCTGCTTTTTCGAAAGAGAGCGCCCACACCGAATGGACGCTCTCTCGCATGTAAGCTGTGATTGCTATGGACGGCGTGGCCACCAGGGCACCTGCGCTTTTTCCTCTTTCCTCTTCTTTCAAAAGAACTCCCTCTTCCCCGTCCACACACGCCTTTTTCCGAAAGAGCTCTTTGGCAAAAGGGCTTCTTCCTTGTAGAAAGAGGTTTACCGATGTCGGAAAACCTCCTCTGTTCTTTCGATTTTTTTCCCCCGAAAGAACACGATTGCAGGGTCGACATAAGTGAAGATTTTTCGGGAAAACGGCTGTTTTTCTGAAAAAACTCTGCAGTGTCGACATACACTGAGCTGTGGCACCCCCCAGCATGCAGCCACCTCGGCGTAGAACGAGGCAGCTCCCGGGGGCGGGGGGGGGGGGGGGGTGCTGGAACCCCCATGCAGGGCCAGGACTAGAGACAGCACCACGGACTGCAGAGCGCCCCCTAGCACCATCCTGGAGTACTGAGGGATTGGCATTGATTCTAGGGCAGGGAGGCCTCCTCACCCCTCTCCAGGAGCATGGCGCCCCCTAGTGCCAGACTGGGACACTGGCGTTAGCACTGACCCAGAAGGGAGCCCCCGCTCCCCCAAGTCCCCATGCCTCTCAGTCCCTAATGCCTTAGTGAACCAGATCTCAATGGGCTCAATCCATTGTGGAGTGGGACAACTTCAGCCTGCTCCCTGCAAGCTGACCCC